GGGTCTTTTGAAGAACATGCCTCACCATCATCGTTCTGCATCTTTGCTGTCCTTTTCTTGGAACGACTGGTGTTTCTGGTGAAGTCATCGCCATCTACATTTGCATTTGGAGAACCATTTGCTTCTCCTTTTTTCTTTGCTGAGTCATTCTTGTCATTGCTGCTACTGCCGTTTTTGTCTGTTTTGTAACGTTCCTTGATGGTCGCTTCAATGGTTTCCAATATTGGGTCTCCGTACTTACTTATCTTAGCCTTCCCAATACCGTTAATCTCCAGGAGTTCTTCCTTTGTTCTTGGAACTCTTTTCTTTTGCGCTGCAGGGTAGCGTTTCTAAATATAGGGGATAATGTTTGCTAGAGAAAAGAAATGGGTTGTCTGGGCATTGTGGATTTGGAAATCAAAAGGAGAGGGTTATTAAATAAGTAGATTTGGAGTTGTGGGAATGAGAAGGAAAGCTTGTGAGACAGATAATGTCAGAGACGAATGACTATGAACCTATTGCCCTCCTATCTGAAGTTGCTGTTACTCGTAAATGCTCTAGAATATGGAGAAATATTGTTTTGCCTTTAATACCTACTGATAAATTTTTCTTGCAGATAACAGTTAATTTTAGAGTTGTTGTAGGTGATGGTGGTTCGATTTTGTTTTGGCATGATAGGTGGTTAGCTGATTTGATCTTGAAAGATGAATTTTCAGATTGTTCCCTTTAGCAGTCAACAAACATGGATATATAAGGGAGTTTGGGCAGTGCACAAGTCTTTAGAGTATTTTTTGTGATTTTTCTTTGAGTGAAGGCTTCAAAGATGGACTAGTATGGAAGGCACTAGTATGCAAAGCAAAAGTTAGTGGTAAGTATACTTCTCAATCGTTCTACCATTTAGCTTGTAATTCCCTATCCAATATGAGAATAGAAAATTGTGGAAGAAATTATGGCTTGGTTATACTCCATACAGAATGGAAATTTTTGTCTGACAATTAATGTGGGAACATATTGCAGTTAAGACAGAATG